ATTTTTAGTATTTTCGGAGGTGAAAGAGAGTTCTAATGGCAGAATGAACTGTGTAATTGTGCCGGAAGGGAACAAGGCGGAAGGGTGGTGGCAGTTTATGAAAGCTGTGCATGTGGTGGTTGGTGTAAGGCTTATCCCCCCAAAATGGTTAAAGGCAAAAAACCTTTGAAGCAGTTTAAAGGTTATGAGGAGAATGATCCGGCGGTTGGTAACATAGGGTTTGTGGTGACTGGGCGGGTGGCTGGATTCATGTGCGTGGGATGTAACTTGGAATGGGAACTGAGAACAAGGAACAAATCGCCTATTTTAGCTGAGGTGCTACGATCACCTGCTGTTTGTCGGGTAGGGTAGGTTGCACCCTCGGGTCAAACAAGTATGGGTTGGGGCAATTCAAATTTCAAAATGGGAGATATGGGGTGTCACGTAGCAAGTAAGCGGGAAGTAAGGCGGGAAGGAAAGTTTCGTGGGCCAGTGTTGAATTTTAAAGGGAAATGTTTGTGGGTTGAGAAAGGAAAATGGGTGGGTTGATGTCCCAGAATCAAGTAAGAATAAGGCCAAAAAAACAAAGAGAATCTGGCAGCCTAGAGAAGCTTGCCTAGCTCACTAGCAACTAATAATAAAAGAGAGAATTTTGGTGCAGCGGAGGGTAAAAGCAAGAATGACTAGGAAAAACCTAATTGTTTCGAAGGAGAGTACGGTTTCGTAGGTGTGGACTCAGATGGAAATGAGAGGAAGGAGGGGTTCAGGTTGGACGGCTCTTTGTTGTCTAGTGTTTCGATGAACACCTCTCTGATGGCTGATGAGAGTGGATTCGTCAAGATGTCTGATGAAGACGGTTGTGAGATTAGGGCAAATAGCGACTGCTTCGGTAATGCTAGGGCGCTGATTGAAGTCGAAATGTTGAAGCTTGATGATGATGGGGTTCTGGATGTGCCGCCTATCCAATCTGATCACCTATCGAAGGAACTGATGGTCTTGCCGATGGTGATTTGGCTGACCAATACTCGGTGTGGGTCCAGAAAAATTTTGTCAAGGTGAGTAAATTGTTTGGGATATGTTTTGAAGGGATGAAAAAAGGGTATTAAGTTTATTGGCTGAACTGGAGATTAGATTTTTAGAAGCTGAGAGAGAGAAAAGGAAAGTAAAAAAAATGGAAGTAAAAAGGGAGGAGGAGTATGCAGAGAGTTAAAAAGATTGGAGTGGTCTTTAAACGATGAGGGGCGAAAAAGTAGAAGGAGAGGAGAGGGTGAGGCGACTATTACTGGTAATCAATGATAAGGAAATCTATTTGATGGAATGTGAAGGGGTCTGAACGAAGCTAGCAAAAGAGGAGTGATTAAGGGCTGTTTGAGAAGGAGGAAACCAGAGATGGCCTGTCTCCAAGAGATGAAAATGGAAAATATCACTAGGGCTGTCATTAACAGCTTATGGAAAGAGAGGAACGTGGGTTGGGAAGCTTTGCCGACTAAAGGGGCTGCAGGGGGGATTTTGGTGATGTGGGACAGTGACAAATGTTTTTGCAGGGAGTGAATATTGGCAGGGTCTCCCTATCATATTGTCTAAAGAGCTGTAGGGATAGTGAGAGGTGGAGTTTTTCCGGTATTTACTGCACAGGGAACAATGAGGAGAGGGAGTGGCTATGGGATGAGTTGGGGAGGGCTAAAATGAAGTGGGGTGAGAGGTTGGTGGTGGGGGGAGATTTTAATATGGTGTTACACGTGAGGTCGAGGTCGAGGTCGAGGTTGAATACCAGAATAGGAGAGATTAAGGAGTTCAAGGAGATGATTGATATGCTAGGTCTTATGGATCTCCTTCTTGGGGAAGGGAGGTGAACATGGTCAAGTGGCAGGGAGTGCCCGTCGTGGTCAAGGATTGACCGTTTTCTTATTTCTAATCGCTTGGTAATGCAAGTTGCAGGTTTAAGTCAAAAAATATTTAACCGACCCATATTTGATCATTTCCCGATATACCTTGCCCCAGAAGGCATTATTTGGGGCTCCACACTTTTTAGACTGGATAACAAGTGGCTGCTCATTGAGGGGTTCGAGGACTTGGTGACTAATTGTTAACAGAATATGGTTGTTGAGGGCACCAATAGTTTCATTTTTGTCTCGAAGCTGAAAACACTTAAAAATGAAAGTAAAAGATGGTCAGAGGAGGAGGAGGGCAGATTAGAGAGGGTTTTAGAGGAATACCTTATGAAACTAGCGACCTTGACAGTAAGGAGATGGAGGGCAGGTTGGGGGAGCAGGGGAGGAGAAGGAGAGAAGAGGTAAGGAAGAGGGTGGCTGAGTTGATGAATTTGGAGGCTGTGTCGTGGAAACAGAAGGTTAGGGAGAAGTGGCTTGAGGAGGGGGATAGAAACACAAGGTATTTTCACTGTCTAGCAAATTTCCAAAGGAAAAACAATTATGTAGAGGAACTATGCTGCAATTGGGATCTTTTGAAAGGCAATGAGGGTATGAGGAGGGGCGCTAAATAGTTTTTCCAACATCTTTACACTGAAGATGAATTCAGTAGGCCCAATCTTGATAATCTACAATTTAGGAGACTAGGGGTTGAGAGTAGGAACAGTTTGGAGGTCCCATTTTCAGAGGAGGAAGTCAAGGATTGCACTCATCAATGGGACATTTTTGGATTGTGATAAAAAGGATGTGCTTGATATTTTTAATGAGTTCCATAAAATCGGGTGTTTTGTCAATTCCATCAACTCCACTTTTTTAGTTCTTATCCCGAAAGTGGTGGGGACGAATGATATAAGAGAGTTTAGGCCGATTAGTTTGGTGGGGAGTTTGTACAAATTGATTTCAAAAGTGCTTGCAAGGAGACTTTCTAAGGTATTAAGGGAAGTGATTGGCGAAAAACAGAATGCTTTTGTTGAGAATAGACAAATTTTTGGTGCTGTGATGATTGCCAATGAAGTTGTGGATGACTTGGTGAGCCAGAAAAAGGAGGACATTTTGTGTAAAATCGATATGGAAAAGGCTTACGATCTTGTTTGCTGGAATTTTATGGACTACATGATGATGAGGATGGGTTTTAGGGATAAATGACGCGGGTGGATCATGAAATGCATATCTACCTCCTCTTTTGCTGTTTTGGTGAACGGGAGTCCATCTTCTTTCTTTAACGCTTCTAGAGGTCTCCGCCAAAGGGATCCTTTGTCACCTGTACTTTTCCTTATTGTTATGGAGGCCTTTAGTAGATTGATGGAGAGGGCGGGGGAATTAGATTTATAGCAAGGGAAAGGGCAGGAAGCCATGTTGCTGGAACTTTTAGAACTCAACACCATCCGATAGACACTAACATATTTTGCAGCAATTTGATAAGCCAGTAGAAGCTTATATT